ACTGCTGCAGCGAGTTCGACATTGCATCTCGGCTGCAAGCTGTTGACAGAATGATAACCTATTTATACAAGTTGAATCGAAGGTCCAGAATATGTACATTCGGATACATGTCTCCGTACGTCACGCGTAGGGATCGGAACTAAGGACAGACTTGTAGGCTAACGGTCTCCGCAGTGTAGTCGCAATCGAAGATGCCGTTCTTGCCAGCTCCAAGGAGCGCACGTGACGTGTTAGACGAATCGTGATGGGATCTTCAGCCGTAATAACCGTGAGATCTACATGAGACTGTAGAGCAAAATGGTCTCAAAAGCAACGGACGTGCTACAAGTTGTACGGTCCAGCGCGTCATTGACCTTGAAATGCTTGCTAGTGAGCCTGCTTGTCGTATCGCGGAGTAATGCCCGGCAAAACACCAACGACTGTCAGAGCTGAATTTGTAGAAGTGCTTATGTTGGGCCACTTGATGGTTTGAAATTTGGTGTTGGGCAGTAGTTCTCGGCCGGGTCGGCCCCTGGCCAGCCGAAACGTCAGAACGTCCGAGAACCCACTGGGCACGTCGAATCCTTATCATGGAGACAAACTATTCCCGCCAGTGACGCGGAAGGAACGGGTGTAGAACACAGCCACACAAATGATGGTGACGGCAACCTGCAGATGGACAGTTCTGAAACGCTTGGGTTTGCTCTTGGGTTATGTTCCGCATTGCCGCTAACAACGCGTCTTCCAAGGGCACCGGCTAGATAGCCGAGATGGTGTGGCCGCTATGGCCATGTCGACGCAACTTTGCTGGCCTCTGGTTTGTCGCGACTGGAAGTGCGGCAGATCGACGGGGTGGGGGGCTGGTCAAAAACTGTTGTAGCGGTGCTCTTATGGGAGGCGCGTGCAGGTACATAGGGTTTCTTATCGCCGGACTTTTCTGTTTCAGAATCCAGAAGTTCGTCTTGAGGGTTTTTTGTGCAGTCTTTCTCTTGCGTTTAGCGTCGAGTCAAAGATTTCGACACGTGCTGCGAAAGAGAAAAGGGGTGTGACATCATTCGGTCATTGCTGAACCACAATTTCCGACTCCAGCTGCCAATTCGCTCGCCCCGCATGTACCGCTGCGGCTCGACCTTGGCATCATGAACCGCAACACGCAGAACCTCGCGATAGGCCGCTTGCCTACTAACGACAGCTTTCCGCCTTTTTCCAGCGTCGTCCACAGACCGGCGTCCAGCTCTTCCACCGCCTCGGTGTCGAGTGCAGAGGAGAGACTGCAATGGCGCTCGCACCCGAATGTCGCGACGCCGCATCCGGATCCGACGAACCAGAATCCCTTCGATGATCCCAGCCTCACATTGGCAACGCCCCTGAGTCGCGATGAGCCCGAAGGCCTTTCCAACGACGTGCAGAAGCAGATTCAGCGCGAAGAAGAAGAGATAGAGTACCATGGCGACGAGAACGAGAGGGTCGACACGAACTCTACGGAGAAGACTGACGATTCCATACGCGAGAACCCGACGGCATTGGCTGCTGTTACCAGTAGGAGCACGAAGCGCAGCGCTCAAAATACGGATGTGTCAGAGAAGAGGACGAAGCTGAGCTTCAAGGAACGGATACGGCATTTCACCTGGACCTGGTTCTGCCTTACTATGGCCACCGGCGGTATCGCCAACGTCTTGTATACTGTCCCGTTCCGCTTCCACGGCATCTACGCGCTTGGGTGCATCTTCTTCATCCTCAACATTGTGCTGTTCCTGTTTAACGTCGCTATGATTTCTTGCCGGTTCTACTTCTACCCGCGAACGTTCAAGGCTTCCTTCCTGCATCCTACCGAGTCGCTGTTCATCCCCGCCGCTATCGTCAGCTTTGGTATCATCCTGATCAACATCAGCCAATTTGGAGTTGACATGGCTGGAGTAGGAGAGTGGCTGGAGCAATGCATGATTGTGTTGTTCTGGATGGACTGTGGTCTTGCTGTTTGTTTCTCTATTGGCATCTACCTGCTTATGTTCGTGTTTCTCTCTCATCGTACACTGACAAGTATGCTAACAATCACAGGTGGTCTACCACGACTTTTACCATTTCCCAGATGACGCCCATTTGGATCTTCCCAGCATATCCTTTGCTCATCATCGGACCCCACGCTGGTAACCTTGCGCCCAAGGTTGAAGATCCTACTATCTCTCTTACCATCATCCTGACTGGTTACGTCATTCAAGGCATAGGCTTCCTGGTGTCGCTCATGATCTACGCCGCCTTCATCTACCGTCTCATGACGCAGAAACTTCCCAAGGAATCGCTTCGCCCGGGTATGTTCATCTCCGTCGGTCCTTCTGGCTTCACCATCGCCGGCGTAATCATGATGGGCCAAGAGCTCCCGAAGACTGTACCCAGCGACTTCATGGGCGAAGGCAACGGCGAACTCGCAGGCAAAGTCGGCATGATCTGCGCAAACTACATGGGACTATGGCTCTGGGGTCTTGCACTCTGGTTCTTCTTCGTCAGCGTCGGTGCGCATTGGTCGTGTGCCCGGAGAGGAAAGATGGACTTCGCGATGACATGGTACTCCTTCATTTTCCCCAACACGGCCCTCACAACATCGACCTTCGCCATCGCCCGCGCTCTCAACGATAACAGAGCTATCGCTCTCATCGGCTGCGCAATGACCATCGCCCTGGTCATGATGTGGTTCTTCGTCATCTTCATGAATGTGCGCGCTGTCGTCATCCATCAAATACTGTGGCCAGAGAAGCAAGAAGATAGGACCGAAGGTGGATGGAAACAGCAAAGTGCGGAAGAGCAACAGAGACGACAACGGGAACGGGAATTAGCTGATGGCGGTGAGAGTATGAGGGGCAGGGCGTGGAGTCGTGCGAGGACGCTGACGAGGCCGAGGGAGAGTGATCCCGCGACTACGGCTATGCCGACGCTGGAGAGGTCGCAGACGGATATTGGGGCGAGGAAGAGGGGGTGGAGCTTTAGAAGGTAGAAGATGGGACGGTGGTGTACGTGGAGGGTGTGAAAAGTACGAGGAGTTTGTCATTTGCATAGAATTTGTCGTCGATACCCCCTTAGAGCGATGTTTTGGTCGAGCGTTAGTATTGGTTTTCGGTAGATATGTATGTTAATTAGATGTTCTCTTCGGAAACCCGCGTTACATTTGACCTGGAGGTACTACTTCCTGGCGAGTGTTTTCCACTCGCGAGGCTTCAACTGAAATTCTAGGGATAGAAGATAATGCTACCAGCATGTAGCAAGTCCGGAAGCCCTCTGTCGTGGTGTTCCAGACCTCGGGGCTTGGGTCCTTGAGGCGCGTTCGATCTAGGATGAATCAGGCTAGAGCCTTGGCACTTCAGAACCCACGCCCGCGAATCCGTCGCGTCCTCACGTTGCACATATCAACTTTACCACGCGCTTTTTGCTCGTCTCCATTTTCAAAAAACATGACACTCATCCTCTATCAACTCAATTGGTGGAAGGCTACTTTTCAACGTGTTGTACAGCATGGTCGGTACTCACCTCGAGGCGTGTCAGGCTGCAGGGGCGAAGCAGCCTGCCCAGGTGGTCCTCCATGCGTCGACCAATCACTCGTGCATGGTGGCACGGATGAGATGGCCTGGCGCGTAGATGAGATCCAGCCTTCTCCCGGGATATTTTTCGCTGCACAGCTCTTCTTCGCACATTTCCTCTGGCTGCCCGTGGTTCCTAGGACGGGTACACCTACGTTCGTTACACTCAGAGATGGCTACCGATGGCCGCAGTCGAGCTCAACCTCTGGATATGAATGACGACTTTCGCCAAGAAGTCAATGAAGACGGGAACAGAGCCATACAACAAGCTCACAATGCTGCCGAAGGTGTGTCGACTCCTGTGCAGGTCTCACCCGCCGACACTCCGTCACAGCAGGACGAAGACGAAGACGATGACGACCATCTATCGCTATATAAACACGTACGAATGCTTGGACACGGTGGCAGCGCAAGCGTCGAAATGGTCCGCAGTGTTAAAACAGGGTCGGTTTTCGCACGCAAGATCATCAAAAACGTCTATTCTCGCAATCTGGAAGATGCCAAACGAAAGCTCCTCAATGAAGTCCACATCATGCAACGTTTGGCTTTCCATCGTCACATCGCCGCAGTACATGCAACTTATATCAAATGGAGAGAACTTGTCATAATTCTCGACCCGGTTGCGGACAGCGGAGATCTGGCGAACTTCCTGCAAAATTACCGTGATCAAGGCTTTGCAGAAACCTTTAAGACTTCGACCAACGAAGCTGGACGGCAGAGAGATATCCTGGTCAGGGCTTTCGGCTGTTTGGCGTCTGCTTTAGCTTTCATCCACGAACAGACCATCCGACACAAAGACATCAAGCCGCAGAATATACTGATTCATCAAGGGAGAGTCATGTATACCGACTTCGGTCTGTCGCACGATTATGCGGATATCGGTCGAAGCACGACTACTGGAAATCCACAAGGCTTTACCAGGAGATACTGTGCACCTGAAGTGGCGAAGGGAGAAAGCAGAAATTCCAAATCAGATATATTTTCTCTCGGATGTGTTTTCATCGAGATCTGTCTAGCGCTGGCGAACGATGTTTTATTGGATGAGATGTACTGGGTTCGACCGTTTTACGAACTCGTGCAGTCTTTCCGGCATGGCTTGCCGCTACCCTTAATTTGTTACGAAACCGGTCAGTTGCTAGATGATGTCATTGGGAAGATGCTGTCGAGTGATTCTGCATCAAGGCCTTCAGCTTCCTCAATTGCCTACATGTTTATAGAGGGCGCTTCACCTGGATTCTCTTGTCCAGAGTGTAAGGAGGTGTTCCAATTCACGTAAACAGAAAGTAGTTGCCGTCAAAAGAGCCCGGTCTTGGCCGGACGGCTTGCTGCTCGCTTTCGCTCAGGGTTTTCGAAGCATTGACAGCACCGAACTAGTCGTCGTTCAATTTGTAAAGCTTCCACCTTGGGATGCAAAACTTCGATTGCTTAAGGTTGACTATAGCGCAAGCTTGACTACAACATCGGCATACCCTCCATACCCGGCAGCGCCGTCAACCAGCCATCGCGCTCCTCCTTTACACGGTTGGGTACAAGACACTTGTTTCCATCAGCAGGCTGCTGCGTCTTCAAGCTACCGCAGTTGGCACCCATGCAGCCCTTGGCATCATCCATAGCCTTCTGCAGCGAGTCGTCCTTCCAGCCGAAGACGTAGTCTCCGTGCTGTCCATACCCAGTGTTGTCACCGGTGGAGAGGACGAAGGGTTGCGAGCCATCGGCGGGCCACTCCGCTTTGTTGTTGAACTTGCTGGTATCCCAGACGATCTGCAAGTACGTCAGCTTAGCCAACACGACTAGATGATAGATGTCTTGAGACTTACCTCGAGCATGACCTGTGGGATCTTCACGGGATGAGTCGACGGGCAATTGCCACCAGTGCCAGTACCAGAGAACAGAGCCGGGCCGTTGGAGGGGTACGCGACGTGCGATTTGTGGTCGGGTGAATCGAGGTTCTTTCCGTCCCAGCATCTGTCAACGGGTCAGTGGCGCACGATGTTGTTCGTGATGGGCGACTTACGTTGGGTAGAGAACGTTGCTACGGATACCACCCGGGCAAGGTGTCGTAGGGAAGCCTTCGGTATCAAGTCTTGGAGCGTCAGCATGGTCATGAGTGCGACAAGACGTGCATGCTTACTTGGCATCCTGGCAAGGCGCGGCATTATCGCCACCAAAGTTGGGCGCGTTGTAGCATCGGAAGCAAGTCTGAGTCTTCAGACCCTTCGAGACGCGGTTGGTGGCATCGCCGGTGAGCATGCGGAAGCCCTGTATGCTGTATCAGGACATGAAGTTGCATGGAGAGGTACAGGGCTTACGGGCTTGAAGGCAGTGACTTGGCCCTTGCCTCCAGAGACGTAGTAGACGACAAAGCCTCCGGTGGTCTTTCCAGTGTACTTGTCGTTGAAGAGATCCCTGTTAGGGATTTGAGGTACGCGCTTGTATGTTCCATTGCGGGCCTTGAAGTAGACATTCGCGGTCCAGTAGTTGGAAAGCTAGCATTCAAATCGTCAGCCTCGATCGTCTCGTATTTATCACTTTGACTTACGTCCTCCGAGTACCCGCAAGTAGTGCATGTCGCAAGCTTGGCAATATCCGTCGACTGCATTGTGACGTTGAAGGCATTACCCCCAACTACCTGATGCATATGCGGCGACGGCGCTTGGCCTGGGTTGACAAGAGGATCAATGCGGTCGATAACATTCTGAGCGCACCCAAACCGCAACATTGTGAAGCCCTGAGAGCCACCGAACTGAGGCGCAGCCTGCGCCACGGCAGCGAGGAGGAGTGTAGGGAACAGCATGACGATTCGCAATGTCTCTTCACAGAAGGATACGTAGATGATGATGAAGAAGTACGGAACGATGCAGAGAAGACGCACTGGGGGGTAAAGTACTCCAGAAGAATGTTCTATGAAGCTTTCATACCTACCCAATGCGACTCACCTGTAAAAGCTCGCCAGCTTCCACATTCGTCATGCAACTGCCGACCCCATCCGTACCAGAAAACTCATATTAAGGTCACCACAACTTCACCTAATGCGTACGACCTCGTGGCATCAAAGCAATGTCGGCAGTTGCGGAGCTAATATGCTGATCCCGCATTCGGCTAAAGGCTTGAGATTACTTCACTAAACTGACCATTCTCTTTGGGCGACATGTGGTACCGGAGCATGGGGATCGACGTCTCCTCGTGGGGATACAGTCAAGAACATGGGGATGGAAGTGGCGTTATCGGAAAGATCGGAGTCATTGCATGAGGCATGAATCGATTCTCTTGTCCTATTCTACCGCACTACTATGTGTTGGCACCTCAGCCCCGCAAGTCCAGAGTTGGGACGACTAAGCAGGTGCAGGGATAGAACCGGCAACAGCCTTGATGCCCGCGTTCCAGATGTCACCCATGCGCGCGTATCCAGCGACATTCCTATAAGATCAGTCAGCTGAGCGATCTCCAGATGAACGAGTCAATACTTACGGGTGCAGGTTATCGCTCAACTCGCTGCTCGTGCTGAGGACATTCATATCGACAATGGAAACCTTGGATCCCTTGCTGACCCTGGAGGCGACGATAGCAGACAACGCGTTGTTAAAGGTCTTGATGTTTGCGTTAAGTCCGGATTGCTTCGATGGGATGATCTTAGCCACGATGACGACCGCGTTGGGGACGGCCTTCAGAACGTCATCGAGCAAGAGTCCAAGTCGTCTCGGCGCATCAGCATCAGGCTCCGAAGAAGGGTTTCCTCTGTTCAGGTCGTTGGTACCGGCATGGAGCAGAACGACATTGGGCTTCAATGCAAGACCACCGGCAGCAACGCCACGGATCTGGGAGATGGTGTAGCCAGGGAAACCTTGGTTGTCCTTGTCCGCCATGGTTCCGGACTGTTGCGTGCCGACGAAGTCAACGGTGTAGCCGCCAGACTTGAGGTCGGCCAGCAGCCGCTCACGGTAACCATTTGAACCGCCGCCGTTGATGTAACCCCAGGTGATGGAATCGCCTAGCGGCAGGATGCGGAGGTTCTTCGACTGACGTGTGACGAGCGCATCGGTGGGAAGACCGTTGACAAAGGATAGGACTGCGTGTTGTTGTTAGTCACGTGTACGTGTGTCCCGTCCATGTGTAAGAGCCCTACAGAATGAGAGGATAGCCAACGGCAGAGCCAATCGCGTCATCATGTTTGACAGCATCGTGATCAGATATCGAGGTCTTGTCAATAACGCGCAAACGACGCAGCCAGAGGCGAGACGTCCTTTTGATGTAAAACGCCCAGGTTCATCATACCCCAGATTCAGTCCATGCGTGCTTGTGCACCCTCAAAATGGCACACATGGCGTCAGTTTCTCCGTCGATTTGATGAAGCCGAGAGGTTAGCGCGTGCCGATTCTGATTAACCTGCGACAGAGCTCGTGGACGCGAATTCTCCGTAGGCAGAACTACGGCTAAGATGGCGGCGGAGTGGAGGTACCTAAGGAGGTTTGTGCGTAGTGTCGTCATCCGACGACGCGACTTTGAACGCGCGCGAAAGGATCAGGTCTGCGCTTGCAGTCCATAATGCGACGCGCTATTGAGAGCCTTCCGACAGGTAGGAAGCCACCACAGCACTGTCGTTGACGCGCTCGGTGCTCTGGAGCTGCTTTTAGCCTCGGTCCCTTAACTTGATGTTACGATGTTTCAATGTGGAGAGCAATTTGGCCTTGACAGCTGTCCCTAAATCTCCCCGCATCCTAACTTGATTGGGACATAGCTCGGACGATGATAGCGTCTGCAACACCAACAGCCCCTCAGCCTTACTTTCTTTCGCATCGGGTGCGCGTTGCACAAGATATCCTGAACGTGTATGCGAGATCTTCGATGAACTGCTTCGTTAGCACAGCTGAATGAAACAACTGCCAGGTTCCTTAGTCGTGCGTTCAACTGAAGCCTACCTGTCGGTCTCTTAACTGAGCTTGGCAGTATCGAGATAGCTTCTGCTATAGCGGAAATCGCGAATCTTTTCATCTGGTAACGCCGTGGTATAGTCATGAACTGCCCGTCCTATCAATACAAGAGCCTGGCTGCGCCCGATCATATCCGCCTCATTACCATCCTTCCTGAAGAGCGGGGATCAGCAATCAAACTCGGTGTCGAGCATGCCGACATCTACTCGCATCCCAAGTATGAGTGCCTGTCGTATGCTTGGGGGACAGACGGTCCGGACCGGTCCATCACTGTCAACGACTCTTCGTTATTTGTCACTGCTACCCTCTATGTCGCACTCGAACATCTTCGCCATGCATCACAAGAGCGCAAGATTTGGATAGACGCTATTTGCATCAACCAGAAAGACATCGCTGAGCGCAATAGTCAAGTCGCTATCATGAGGAAGATTTACAAGAATGCGACGCGCGTAGTCGTGTGGATTGGACCTGCCACCAAGTCGAGCGAACAGGCCATGGAATTTTTGGAGATGTTGGCTGCAGCTAGGAAACATCGCAGATGGTATACGAGAGATTGGTCCAGGTTGGACGAAAAGGTATCTGAACCAGCTAACAGCCCAAACTATTGGGAGAGACTGAAGAGTCGCCTTGTGCGAGTATATACATCGCTGACGCGGCGAGTTCATCAGGCCAAGGAGCCAAAACCAGACCTACCAATACCAGATCCGCCAGAACCGGACCCACCAAAACCAGACCCGCCAAAACCAGACCCGCCAGTACCAGACCCGCCAATACCTGACCTGCCAGAATTACACCCACGCTTGCAAGAATTGATTGATCGCCGGTACGACGAATTCGGTGAGTACATGGTGGCTGTGGAAACTGCGGAAGCTACAAAGCACGATTTCGCCGTGACAGGCATTCCCGTACTGTACAACATGGACGGCAATCCCTACGACGAGTATTTCAAGAATGAATGGGAGGCCTATTGGGAGGCCCTCGATGAGTTACTTGCTCGCCCTTGGTGGGAGCGGACCTGGATTGTACAGGAGATATGGTGTGCTTCGGATGCAATACTGCAATGTGGCACTTCCATAATTGAATGGAAAACCTTTCAAATGGCCATGGATTATTCCGAAGCATGGGACGATATTGGAGATGCTCTGGAAGGCATGAAAAGAAAGTCGCAGTGGGATACATTGCGACGACGTTACACACTGGCGATAAATCTTTCGAAAGCAAGAGTAAATGGAAGTTCGCTGTCGTCGCTGCTTTGGAATACTTGGGATCGCGCATCCACAGATCCAAGGGACAAAGTATTCGTTGTGTTGGGATTAGTGGGCGACGTTGAAGGTATCTCTGTGGCGCCTGATTACCGCAAGTCGGTAGATCAGGTGTATCGAGAGACTGCGCATCACATCGTAGCAAAAGAAGGTCGACTTGACATCCTACTGGCGGCCAGCGGCGTTCATGGTAAGGATGGCTTACCGTCATGGGTGCCAGACTGGCGCCGTGAGGCGTACGCAAAGAAGCCGGTTCTACTTGTCAATCGCCATCTCTTGATGACCCTGTGCTATTCGGGGTCTACTGATATGGTTGTTCTCCAAGGGCATGGCTATCGAGCAGCCGGCAACTCGAAGTCATATTGTTCCTTCAGCCAGGATTTACATGTGATGACGGTACTAGGCATACAGTTGGACAGTATCGCTGAGGTATGGGACGTAGATATCGCTGCCATGCGCGACGGTGAATTCATCAAACAGGCCTTCGACTTCATCCTCAAATCGAAGTTTGTGTCTGCCGAGGCACGACAGATTGTGTCAGCGGAAAGAGCAAACTTCGCCACTGAACGGCATAGTTCGATCGTAATGACGACACTTACTGGCGGGGGTAACGTAGAGTACGATATGAGAGCGCCGACGATGAGAAACATCATGCGACAACGGCGGCTTTTCGTGACGAAGCAGGGATATATTGGGATCGGCCCAGTAGAGGCCCGATCGCGTGATGTGGTCTTCATCATCTCTGGCTGCAATTTCCCGATCATACTTCGACCGAGAAAGGACATGTTTGCGGTTGTTGGTGAAGCTTACATGAACGGCTACATGGCCGGTGAAGCTCTAGCTCTGGCTCCGGCTCGTCCGTGGAAGAAGATCTCGATACTGTAGGACAAAACTATGAAGCATCAGTATTTGCTCGGTTCGAAGCTTATCTACCGTTCTAAGTATTCTGGTATCGTATAGCAGAGCTGCACGTTGAATGGAGGGCGTGTGACCTCGTCACGGTCTACTCTTTGTGAGTTAGTGCGGTGGCTGTGTGGGGTCCTCCTCGGGGCCCTGTACTAAGCTTCCCGCTTGGCCGACACGCAGCTGCCTCACTTCTTTTCTCAATTCTTTTGAGACAACTAACGCTACCTTCAGCAAATGGCAGCACGCATTGCGACGAAACTCAACCGATCGATATGGACAGCAACTGAGGTGGAGGGTTGGGAAGTTTCCATCGCTGCGCGCGCGCGCGATGGAGAGCGCGACGCCCAGTTCCTAAAATACGCGACTGCCGGCCTTCAACCCGGCGCAAGCCACGACACAGCACGTCGAGCAGTTACACAACTTCGACGTGAGGCAATACAGCCCCCGTTATGACGATGCTGTCTGTTAGAGGGCAATTGTATGTGCCCACGTGTCTAACAAGCTCCCACAAACCGGTGAAGTGCTCTGCGCGAGAAGCCATACGCGTATTTACGTGCGAAATATAGGTAAAAAGAATGCTCCTTATATCTATATCCCATCGCTTTTTAGCACTCAAGACGCATGCTCCTTTTCGTCTGGTCGTTTCTCTCCGCCCTCTCTCTCTCTTCCTGACATAATGGCATTGCAGCACCTCTGGACACTCTTACCTTTGATTTATCTCGTGCTTTTGTCCGCTCTCGCGTTACCTGCCTACGGCGTTTGCTATAGAAGCGATGGGCTCTTAGACATGGTTCCACGGCCCTGTCCCGGGTCAAACATGTGTTGCTACCTTGATCGAACCGACGGCTATGCAGACGATGTATGTATCCAAGGCGCTTGCTACAGCGACTACTGGAAAGGGCAGTACT